TTTTCTTTCCGGATTTTCCCTTCCTTTTTTGTATTCCGCCCCCGATTCTGTTCTTGGTGTTTTATGCCCCCATTTCCCGGGGGGGGTCTCCTGTGATTCCCGGGGAAATTCAGTTAGAGGCTTTTCTTGCCACCCCCCCCCCCATGTTTTAAATACGGGGTACTAAACCCCTTTTTTGATCCTGGGACTATACTCTCTCTTGCTCGATCTTCAGTCTGCTCTTCTCCCCCGCATTAGATTCACTTGGTCTGTTCTCCGGACTTACATGCCATGATAATTTCCCAATCATTCTTTTTTCCCCCTTCATATTCGCCACTCTTCGCACCCCACGCGGGGCAATTTAATCGGGAAAATTTGGGGAACCCTTTACTCACACCAAACTGTTTTTAAAGGTTCCTTCTTCGTCCTCCTCGATGGCTTTTACACCTCTTTTCGCCTCCCTTTTCCCCCCAGTTTCATTCTATACCCCAAACTTCGGGCAGGATTCTCAGAATGCGTGCCTTGGGGGTCTCCCGCTTGTGCCGTGCAGTACGTTTGAACGCGTGCAGGGGCAGGGACCCGGGACAATAGAACCACAGAGCGATCCTTATTTTAAAAAGAAGCGTGCGACGCTCGCCGTGTCATCCCTGTGCTAAAGCATTGCTGGGGATTATGTTCCCCCATCCCCCTTTCTTCCTCTATGAGGCAGTCTGGAAAAAAAAGAAAAACGAGTGGTAAAATTTCCCGACCCGGTCCTGTTCTGGGGTTGCCGGGGGTTGATTAGCAAACCCATAGAGTTGCCAAAAGAAAATTTGGGAAACATCTGGTCCGTATTTTTCAGGGGTCCATCTTGCCCCCCATTTCTTTTTCCCCAAAGTCTGCCGAGAGTTAGCACCTTGGGTTTTTTCTCTAGAGAAGAACAGATAATGTGCCCTTTTTTACTTCAAGAAAATGGAGGAACATTCAGTTTTTCGATATCGGCGGGGCCCCAGAAAATTTTTTCGAAAGCTCAAATTTCATAGTCAGCCCTTGCAGTCCTATTACGCCTTTACATCTTATTTTGGGCAAAGGGGTTTTCCCAGCTGGGAAAACTGCCCTTGTTCTCCCTTTCCCCAAAAGGCATCGGACATGAAACTCCACTATCGTCCATTGCTCTTCCAGTGCAGTTTGCAAAAAATGGAAGCCCGTAAATAGACGTTTAGTGTGGGATTTTGAGAAAACAACAGTCTCTCCTGTCAATTGGCTTTCGTAAGGGGTTCTACCCTAGACCCCCTTTTACGCTTGGATACGTATGTTCGTAAAGCCTTTTGCGAAAAACCACTCAGTTATTGCCATATTTTTTGCCTTTAGAAGGGATATGCACAATTGGAGGGTTTAAAATTTAGCCCAAACCCACTCCTTAGGCCTTCGGGCATTACCCTCCTTTTTTAAAAACTTTTTAATGCAGGCATTTCCGTGTTGGGGTTAATAATGTGCTCCCTGGACTTTTTCCAAGCTGAAGGTGTCCCGGAATGTGTTTTGAGCACAAACTTTTTTTCCTTTCTTTAAAGATTTGGCCCCTAGCTTCCCTCAAATATTGGTATCCTTTGTTGAGACTTCGCTATTGCCCGTGCAGGCGCTGACTGTCACCCCATTTCGTTTCTCTCAACTTTCAGTCGACCGTTTTCAATGGGGCCCCCCACAGTGGGTTTAAAATTTTTCCCGCATAAAACCCACCAAAAACACTTTCACTGACGCTTGTCATCTCCCTAACCCTTTTTACCTCTATGGTCCCCTATCCCCAAAGGATACAGTCAAGTTTCGGGCCTCCTCTTTGATCGTAGGTTATCCTGGAAACCTCCATTACCTCTCTGAAGGCAACTTGTCACAGCCGGCTGAACCTTTTTAAAAACCCCTTGCTCATCTTTCATGGGGAGCTGATCATCAAAACCCTCCTTCGCTACATTCCCCCCTTTATTTTATCGAAACTTGATTATGGTGACCAGATCTATTCAGCGGCATCTCCTGCTACTCTCTCTAGCCTTAACCCCTTTTCATCACAAGGATTACGTTTATGCCTTGGTGCTTTTCGCTCTTCCCCTGTCGAGACCTCTATGCAAAAAGGAAAACGTTCCATCCTTATCCGATCGCCGTGATGCCCATTGCCTGCGCTATATGTAGCCTCTCATGATCTCCGCACCCTTTCCCAATTTATAGAATGGTCATGATATTAGTAGACATTCTTTATTTATTCGCCGCCCCTGTTTACTCCGCCCCTTCTCTCTTCCCCTTTCATTCGCTCTCGTCTTCTCTTCCAACTACCACCTTTCTATGTACATGTAGCATCTCACTTTTCCCTACCCCCCTGGGAAGTTCCAGCTGTTCGAGTCTGTTCTTTCTCCCTCCCTTGCTCGAAAGCCCAACTGTCTACGGTCGCTTCCCGCTCTCTTTTTTTTTGACCACTTTCACTCTCATTCTCATGCCATTGCTGTGTACACAGATGGCTCTAAGTCTTCTGACGGCGTAGGATTTGCAGCAGTGTTTCTGGACAGCATCGTACAAGGGCATTTACTATCTTGGCTGGGTATTTTTACTGCTGAATTATATGCATCCTTACAGCATTTATCCGTATTGCATCTATGCCTGTGTCTCATTTGTGGTTGTCTCAGATCCCTTAGTGCTTTACGGCTATACAAAAATTTGATAACCTCCCCCCTTGTCCTCCGTATCCAAATTTTTGGGTACGCCGCATCTTTACCAAGCATAAAGATATTGTTTTTTTTTGGGGCCCTGGTCATGTTGACGTACAGGGCAATGAACAGGCAGACACTGCTGCCGGTCAGCAGTACATGACCTACCCGTTTCTTATAGAGGTATTCCATTTACGGACTATTTTACTGCAAAATCTTCCCACCCGTTGGCAACACGTTGGTCTACTTTTTGCTCGGGAACAAACTTCAATCTATTAAACGAGTATAGGTTACTGGCCGTCTTCTTATCACCAGTGTCGAGGTTGGGGGACTTTCTCTCTCCCCTCTTCGCATTGGCCATACTCGTCTTGCTCATGGATATCTCATGGAGGGCGTCTTGCTCCCCTCTGTGAGAATTGCCAAGCTCCATTATCAGTCAGCACATTCTGTTGGACTGCCCACTTTATCACGAGCACGCAGAATTTACCTCTGCGTCGTCTTCACTCCGCTGCTTTCTCTTTACTTCCCTTCCGTGATGGACCCACCTTTCATCCGGACTCTCTCATTGACTTTTTGACAACAATGACTTACTTCCAAATTCTGATCCTTCAGCCCTTTCTACTTCAATCTCTTGCTACCCTCTACCCCCGTACTATCCTCTGCCCCGCTGTTTTCTGTAACCTGCTGATCATCCCCCCTCCCTTCTGCCATCCAATTCCCTTGCTTCCTTCCCTACCCTGCAGCGCTGTATAGCCCTTGTAGCTTAGCGCTTCTTTTTGATTATAATAATAATATATAAACCAAGATTTTTTTTCTTTTTGCTGTACTGCTGGAAAAGATCAGATGACATTGTGCTTCTGTCAACAGGTGGGTTTTTCTCAATTCATTGATGCATGTTCATTATCCTTTGATGTTTCACCATATTTATTTTTAATTTTACACACACATACACTCAGGTATATGTAATTTTTATATATATATAGTATTCTGATACTATACCTTAATTTATTTATCTTTGTGGCTTATAGGAAAAGCTTCTATGCATATAACTAATTGTAAAATTTTAACTATTTTTGTATTAATTGGTTATTTGGTGTACAGCATATAATAAAGATGGGTATATGTATCATGAAATATTAATTTCACCCTTTTGACAACTTTGTAATTATTTTGATGAATGTGCTAAACATACATAGGCTATACATCTCTAAAGAAACATGAAGGTCGACCTGTTGCTGCTGGTGATCCACATATCCATCACAGCCTGGTTGATCTGGCACCTGGTGAATATTGACCAATTTCCTGTTGAAGACTTCTACACTTGTCCCAGCAATGTTTGATATTTTTGGGTAAGGTGTTGATTATTATTATAATCAAGGGAAGTGCTAAACCCATATGATTATACAGTGCCTGGGGGGGGGGGATGTGGAAGGCATTCAGGTTTAATTCAGGGAACTGGAGCACAGATCCAATTCCCTAAATCAAGAGCCCCTCACCAACATCAAGGAACCTTCCCTGAGGGGAAGGTGTTGAATAGTCTGGGGCCAAGGATGTTGATATAGTGTTCCCTTATTGCCCACTGCACCCATGCTTTTCACTGGGTTTATTTTGCACTTCCGTATCTCACTCCAGTATGTTATGGCAACGTGCAGATTTGGGCAAAGGCCCTCAAGTACTTACCAGGTATATATATATATAGTCTCTCCTCCACTCCAGTGAGTACATATTTAAGACTAAGGCATTCCCATTTTGAATGCTTTATTGGCTCTATGGAGGCTGTAAGTGATCTCTATTTGTTCCATTTGTATTACATTTATAGCCATTTCCCGCTGTATAATCCTACGGGTTTAGGGCTTCCCCCTTGATTATAATAATAATAATAATATAGCCATTTCCAAACATTTGATAGTATGAAAATTATTATTATAATCAAGGGGGGAGCGCTAAACCCGGAGGATTATACAGCGCCTGGGGGGGGGGATGTGGAAGGCATTCAGGCTTAATTCGGGGAACTGGAGCACAGATCTAATTCCTTAAATCAAGAGCTCCTCACTAACATCAAGGAACCTTCCTTGAGGGGATAGTATGAAAAACTGATGGGCTATGCAGAAAAATTTAAGGTTGAAAAGTAAAGACCAAATAAAGGGTTATACAAGTCATGGAAAATATGAGGCAATTAGGCTGTTTCCTAATAAAAATAATAATAATAATATAAAAATAAAAAATAATAAAGGGGTGGGGCCTCCAATGCTATAGATAAAAATCCATCCACCAGCATCGACCTTCATTGAATTTTTTTTTTTTTTTCCAAAGGGATAAGTTTAATTTGCTAAGGGTGAAGAAAAACATTGGTACAGTCAAACAAAATACTTTATTGAAATTCTCTAGGTTAGCCATTACAGCATTCAACAAAACTTGCGCCATGAAAGACGATAAAATCTTTCTAAATATTTCTTCGTGAAGGAATATTAAGAATAAAAATAAAAAATTAAATAAAAAATCCTTAAGAGTATGATTTGGATAGCAGAATATGATCATTTCTTGGACAACAAAAATTCATGGGGCCATTCCAGTATATAAAATGACAACAAAGGTACAAATACTAAACCTGGTGAATCACAAAATGAAAGCTGATTCAGTTTGTCGTCTCAAATTGTTATAAATTCATTATATACTAGTGTAATTTTTTCCTTTAAACAATTTTAAACGAAATTAGCACAAATTTCCAAGCATAATTTTCTGCTGAGATTGCAAAACAAAAATTTTTTTTTTATCTTTCTTCAAGCATTTTAACGAGTTTTACATTTTTTAGAAATTTTAAAATGTTGTAATATACCCTAAGCTGAACATATGTTATTTGAACATTAAAAGCAAGAAAAGATAAATACAGTGTACAAGCTGGTAGAAGGATGGTGTTGAGATGGAGGGAAATGAGTGGGGATAAGGAAGGGGGGGGGGGAGAGTTTGGGTAAGGGTGAAATGTGGGGATAAGGAAGGGGGGGGGGGGGGAAGAGTTTGGGTAAGGGGTGAAATGTGGGGATAAAGGGAATATGCACACATACATAGGAGCATGCATGTGAGTGTGTGGTGTGGTGTGCATGTGTGAGTGGGGGGAATAGGATTGTGTGGGGGGAATAGGATTGTGGGGGGAATAGGATTGTGTGTGGGATAGCAGCAAATGGGGAACTTAGGGAGGACTGTGTGGGAAAGGAGGGTCAAAAGCTGTGGATTTGGTGAGGATATATGAGTGGGTGGGTGGGGGCTAAGGATATGGGGGAAGCTAAGATGTGTGGGGATGGGGGATGAATGACTACAAACTATATCAGCTTCCATTTATATAACTTATTACACATTTTTCAGATCTGTTTAGAAGTTTTGCTTAATCATCTTTGGTAATAAACTAAACATAGTGAAAGTGACCATAGTGTATGTACATACCCATAAGAACTAGGAGCAATAGAAACAGGGTAATGTCAATATATCCTATTAGAGACTTAAGAAATTTAGAAAAATAAACACTTAAAATTTGTACACACTCCCTACTTTGTGTATGCCATGTTTGTAGACCACAGAGATTCTAGGATCAATTCCTTAGCACTGGCCTAACTAACCAGCAACTCTTGGTATGAATATAAGAGACACCACTATCAATTAGCTTGGAATGGTCCCTTTACCAGCCTGCTTTGTTGGCAAGTAGAATTAATATATAATCAACAAAGGGCCAGCAGGTTAATTAACAGAAAAAAAATTACATTCGGCACCAATAATCTGGGATAGGGAACAAAGGTGGAATAAATATCTAAAGACCTAAACCCTACAGAGTTCTCCAGAAAAAATATATTATAAGTTTTGGGGTAATTCTTTAAAAATCAATTTGCTGAAAGGAGATTCAATTTGGTAACATTTGGACAGATATATTTCAGGGTATATATTTGCTAAATGAAAGGAGGGGTCAAGGAAAGGCATTGGATAGTTTCTTGTTGCTGAAGAGCAGCAATACAACTTCCTAAGACATGAGATTAAAAGTGATGGGAGCATAACGTAGGTGTTTCTGACGGTGCCAGGAGGACCGAGTGCCTCAACGCATCACCAAATAGTCCTGCAGCAAAGGTGCATCTTAACACATCAACAACGAAGGTGGGCCAGGGGGGACGCTATGTTCTTACTGATCTGGAGCTGGTGCTTCACTCTTCCCCAGCCAACATCTTGGAAGACCAACAAATCCAAGCAATTATTGCTTGGTCTCAGAGCACTTTAGGGTGCATTGTGGAGAGGACAGTTTATACCATATGGCATTTGACAAATATTAACAAAAAACAAACAAAAATATATAATTAAATATTAACTGCCAAAAACAATCTAGAATTAAGAACAGCTCACCCTACTGTGCTTTTACTATAGGTAAATTAACACTCCCCGTGGCCCACCTTACTACAATATTAGGTTAACAAGAGGTTAAAACAAGTCCAGTATTGATTCTGTAACAGCTCTCTTATACCAAAATAAAAGGAAAACTTTTTGAACAACTGACAGACATGGCATATTTTTTCTTGTGTTAGACATGGTTATATGAATATATAATGCATTTGCATACTACGGGACCATTAAGTGGGTAACATGAGTTATGTATGACTGTAATTGACACACTTGGACCTTAAACAATATCAACATGGTTACAAACACAGATCTCTACAAAGCTGCCATAAACACTGTACACAGTAGTTACTGGCACCGCCCTGGCCTGGTTCAGGGGTAGCAAAGTCAGGACGAGCACAGCAAACTTCCGGGATTATAATCAGCTCTGACTAAAGCCTCCCTGGCTTAGTGACCCACTTTTAAGTACACATTTTGATTAATGTAACACTTTTAAGAGGGGGACTTGCTCGTCCTGTCTCTGGGTTCTGGTCATGACACTTTGTTTCCTGATGCTTTGGACTAGGCACAATAATGATTAACTACTGCTTTGTGAACAGAAGAGGTTCATATAGCAAAAATAGCAACACACATCTGGTGGGCATGCAGGGGACTGGGCAGTGAGTAAAGTTACAGACAATAGCTTACACCCACGCCCAGCCCAGGGCCCAATCTACAAGCAGCGCTACTACAAAAGTAACATGATACAAACAGATAGAAAAACAGCAAAAATAGTGGAATGTTTCATCTCTTGGTAAGTAGTCAACGTGTCAACAGCAGAGAAATGGGTTATGATATTCTTAACGTTAGTAGAAAAGCAGAGGGGCGCAGGGCGGGTCAAGACGGTGCAAGGCATAATACTGGTGGCCGCCCTACCCCCTCCGTCTGGGCCCGCGGGCTCACCAACCCACCGCCCGCCCAAACACTACATATTCTTTTGGACTGTAGAAAGGTGAAAAAATAGACTTTGGAACTTTTTTTTAAGTAGATACGAACGAAGTCATGCTTCAGAAAGGCCAATGTAAGTGAAGAAATTATCAAACTTTGTTATAGTGTCCCAATTTATCACTGATGTATTGTGACTTAAGAGGTCACAGATGAAATGTGGCTCCAGGCATGGGCTGTGGCACTAAGGAAGGATAAACATTTCAAGAGTCAACAACTGGAATGTTGGCTGCAAAAATCAACAAATACCTTGTAGGTAATTTGCCAGGTAACTTTTGTGCATCTGCCAGAAGGACTGTGGCATTTCATCTGGACCGACAGGGACAGTCCGAGAGTGAAAGACGAAGGGGAAGCCCCCCTCAGTACTACACTAAGTCCGCCTTAACCTATGGGTTGTTGATCTACACAGCACAGCGAGCACTAACTATAAGTGGCAAGCAACTGCCCAACCACACATGGTCACACATCCTGGAAGTGTCTTCATGACAATCACTAAAAGTAGCTACCTACATATTCAAAGGTGGTACCAGCTCAGTCACCAGGACTGTGATGTGTAGAGGGCAACTACTAGCCCCGCACCATTGATGCCTTATGCCACCAGGACGGACCCAGCAAAACCAGACTGGTTGGTTAGCTGAGCCCTGACTAGTCTACTGAGGGACCCAGGTAGCTGGAGGGACCTGACAGCTCCACTAGTGTCTACACAGTAGTATCAACAAGAGATATGTATTGTCCAAGCCATTCAGTGCTCCCTTGCAACACAGTGATTGGCTACAAGAATTTGGAAGGTAACATTAAATGCTCATGTGCTACCTAACACAGATGTTGATCCATCAGTCACTGTATTGGGAAGCAAGCATTACCATAAAAGGCCGTGTATGTGCTGTCAACACCTCTTATTATGCCATACAGAGTGATGATGAACAATTAAGTACAAGCCGACATTTCACTAACAGCCCACGTCTAATATGCCAGGTGTAGGATAACAACCAGGTACAAAGCAAACTGCTTCCCGTTTGTGACAAAACAAGACAACAAATTATTTCCACTATACTACCCAGGAAGCTTTAACTTTTTAAATGTGAGTAAATGGCTAGTACATAAAAAAAAATATAACGCCAGTGAATGAAGAGTTTCAACAGTTAAACAAGCTTAGTTTTATCCAGCATAGTACTACCACTCCTTATGGCCAATTACTGAACACTGAAAATGAACAACCGTGTTTATATAACAAAATGTGATTCTGCGGTATCGTTCAGTCTACACATCAGACCTATCGGTTGCAGAATTCCACCAATTCTAAATTACACTTGTGCCCTTTAACGTGTTACCACAGTAACATTAAACAATAAGACTTTGTGCCAGGAACCTGCAACCTGTGGTCAGTATAGAAGCTCCATACCTGCCTGAAGCAGAGGTGTGTGTGGCACAATCACAACACAATCACGACCTTAAGAACTACAACACCGCACAACACTGGTAAGGCATGATCTTGGGAAAAGGTCACAAGTTGGTTTAGTTATTATCAGCCATCCTAGATAGGGTTACAACAGGTTGAGCTTTGTATTACACTACTTGAAAGCAGATACAAAAAAGGCAAGACAGGGAATAGATTACAACAATGGTACTCAACTTCTACCTAACATAGTGAGCTAGTCTAGATAAATATCAACAGGTAAGGGCAATAAGGGCATATTAATCCGGTTTACACCACAATGACAGGACCTACGAGTGCCGGCCAATGAAGCCAGACTCTTAGGATGTGGCTGGCAGGTACCTGTTGTGGCTGTAGTGCTTCATTACTACAAGGACAGAATTTGATTTCTGTTCTACATATGTGTTTCAAGAGTTCACACAGTTGTTAATTCATATTCTAACTTGTCAACTGTAGAAAACATCACCAAAGTTATAGTATCACCTGTAATTTAATTTGGCCCCCAGTTTTTTCTTATGTGTTTGTTGTTTCACAAAAGTTATCTTCCCTTGCAACTACAAAGATAAACATATCAGGCATTAGCTTCCTCTGACTTTGATTGTCACACTTGGGAAAAATTTATAAAAGAAAATCTGGTCAGGTTAAACATCTCTAGAAACACCAGTAACTAATTTTGATATATATTCCTAAGCAAACAGTGTGAAAAGGGTATAACAAGTGAATAGCAAACTTTTGGATGGCTCAACATGTAACGTGTCAATAATATTGACCTGCTTTAAAACAATGAATGTCTCCATTCTGACTAATGGAATACCTGTAAAAAGGAACAAATTTTCCAGCCTTCAATAAAATGAAACTAAAATCTTTCTCATATACATAAAAAGAAAAAAAAAACAGACTGATAAATAAAACTGTTGGCTCCGACTGAGCCATGGAATTGGCCAACAGGCCGGCTTCTATATGACTGTTTCCTGGCCACACTGTTTGTTACCGACCCCAAAGTATTGGGAGACTGGCTGACGGGTAGAGCTCCCGGTATCCACAAGCTTACCGGACTCCCTACTACCCGCCCCTCATGCACAACTTTTCTCTAGCTCTCATGCACAATTCCTTACAACTAACAAATGCAATAGAACAATAATGGGCGAGTTCAACTGCGGCTAAAAGGTACGGAGCCGCACCCGAGATAGACTACCACTACAGGGTAGAGGAGGGCCACTGGGTGCAGTTACTACTGCTTGTCTGTGCTGCTCCACTCCCAAATTTCAACATTAATAAATTACTGCACATAAATATGAAAAGCACATAAATATGAAAATAAAGGAAACTTAAACAAAACCAAAACAAGATACCATGAGCAGGTTATGCAAGGAACAAAACTTAAATCCTTAATGGCACAACTTAAGATTCTAAGAGCAACAAATAGACAATTTTGAAATAAACTCTTAAAACCAATTGAATAAGTTATGTACATGACTATTGGTAGTGAGAAAATTGAAAATAAAATAAGAAATACCTACATTTAACAAAAATTTAAAATAAATAAATGTAATAGCGACTTGTATTAACAGGTATCTAAGCCCATTATATGGTAACTGCCCGATACCCAAGTACACTGGTAACTGGCAACTAAGCCTACGGAAGAGGCCTCAGCCACTTTTTGACTAGGGGGGCAGATTTGGGCTTGGCATCTGCCCCTGGGAGTACAAATAACTGCAACCACGTATTAAAAATAGACTATATGAAGGAACAGTGACAACATGGGACCTTTCCTCCTACCCAGAATGTCAACACCTGATGCTGTGAGGAGGGAGGTGAGGTCTTTACAAGAGATTAGTGTCCTGTCACTTCTGTCACACTTGTCACAGTGCAAAACAAAATACAAGGTGCATCCCTTGTGGCAGTAACAGCACTTGTTCCACCATGTATGCTGTTCAAGTTCCCACATTACAACCAGACTGGAAAGTGCACCAGTGTGACTGTAGATGAGAAGTGGCACCGAGGATCTCACATGTGTGGAGGAGGCACCTGTAGATACCTGTATACGTATAAACGGTAATCTTTGGAGGCTAAGACAACTGAGCCATCATCCATCAATGCTACGTCAAAGCACTGGGCATGCTTCACCTTAGACTCATAGGCAGACACTAGCTGTCCATCTTGAGTAAAGAGCGTAAGGTTGAAGTTGTTGTGGTTGTCAGCAATAAGAACTTCGCCCTGGCTGTTAATGCCCACACCAATTGGGTAGTTGGTAATTCCTTCACCACCAATCTGCCGAAGGTATTGCCCCTCATAGTTGAAAACCTGTGAATAAGAGTGAAAGATTAGTGAAGATGTAACTGCAGTAGTATTAAAATGGGTTATAAAAACAGGAAGGTTCCAATGCACTGCAAAATGTCTATTTTCATGTGGTATATTATATATACATGTACTTCTTAATACAGCTTCTTGCTCCTGGCTTATAAAACAATGATTATTTTGCAAAACAAGTCACTGTTGCAATAACTGCAAAAATCAGTCTGAATATCATAATATTAAATTTATTTCCATATTAAACTTATAAAACTAAATTTTTGCTAACCAGAGATACATGGTTTAACTCTATAATATACAGCAGACCACCACATTTTGCACCTCCACCTGTTTACGAATAATTTTTTTTTTCCTCTTTCACTTCAAAGGTTCACCACCTTTCACAGTGGCTCTACCTTTTTCCACCTTGTGCTCTGACATGGCCAGCCATCGTGGTGGTACAGGCGAGAATTCCCCTCCCACATGCCTTAGGCTTCTTGTTTCATGGTAGATTTAGCTCTGTTTACACCAACAACCCTCCACCTCCCACCACCAATTGCCTGGTGGGCACATACCATACAAGTCATTCTTATTCTCTCTCTTGTTTTATCATTCCATTTCTGATCTTTTTATCATGCCATATCATTAAGAAAAAGAAATTAATGTTGGAGGTGCCAAGAAGTTAAATGTGAAAATATGCCTCTAGTGAAGGAAATAGAGGTAACATATGCTAAAAAGGTGGTGCACAGATGATGGATGTAGCCAGAGTCAATTCTGTGAAGGAATCAAAAATTCATTCAGTTCAAGATAATGTGATGAGTAGTTTAAAAATGAGTGTGCTGTAGCCATAAATGGTTTAATAATATTCAGGGTGTGCAGTAGGCTTCATAGAATAAAAGTTCAGCAGTTAGTGTGCCTCTGCTGACCACACTGCAGCAGAGACTATGTGCCGAGCTAGAAGAAATTATTTCCCAGGGTGGCTACTCACCTAGGCAAGTGTTTAATGCTGATGGGACAGGACTACTGAAAGATGCTCTCTAGTACTTACATCAACGAGCAAGAGAAAAGTCCTTCTCAACTTAATGTAGCAAAGGAACGTTTCAGCTTGCTGATGCATACCAACGGCAACAAGTGACTAAGCTCAGAATCAAACTTTTTTTTTTTTTAATTGCTCAAACAATCCCCATGATTTAAAACAAAGACAAAACTGCTGTACTGGTTATTTGGTGGCCAAATCAGTCAGTATGGATGACTGAAGCCTTGTTTGTTGATTGGTTCAAGCATTTTATTCCCAAAGCATAAGACCCTTGTATTCAAGATTCTCCTAACTCTTGATATTTTCTATGCTGTTGCAGGATTTGAACCCAAATGCAATGTTTTTTTAACCACCAAATACAACATTACTGATGCAACCACTGGATCAAGGTGTAATTATGATAGTTAACCCTTTGACTGTTTCGGCCGTATATATTACATCGCCAAGATCGCTAACTTCGTGGGAGCATAATTCCGTTAGTGTTCAATCAAATTTCGTACTTATGGTGTCATTACCATCGGGAAAAGATTCTATCCTTTCATAAGAATTTTTTTTTTTTTCCAAAAATTCTGCGACACCAGGAGACACTTCAGGATTTGGGGTTGCGACAGTCAAAGGGTTAAGAGTATCTACACACCAAGTGATGCAGAAACTCCTTGCAGTAATGAACGATAAGAGCTTGGAGTTCCGAGTTCTGGCACAGGTTTAACACTGCAAATATAATACCCCACATCAAAGTTACATGGGATAAGGTGCCCAAATCACCAATAAATGCAAGCTGGCAAAATTATGGCTTAGTGTGACGAATAGTTTTACAGGTTTTTCCCTCAGTCAAGAGTCAAGTCCAGACAATACAAGAGGATGACGAAGATCTAGAAGTTAAACGGTAAACACCAACAGTTACACAAGCAGGTCCCATGCTACCTTCGATATACTGAGGTGGACCCCTCACACATCAAGAAGCACTGCACTGAAGTAGACTCTGGACTAAGCAGTCAGCTGTATACCTTTGATGAGTTTCAAGTCTTTCTACTCTCAAGAGCCCAGCCATGGGCCGGACTCGTCTGGCATAAAGTTCTGCAGGGTAATACACAGCAGAAACATGTGATAATACTTGCGAACCCCCATGAGTAACAATTCTGCATCGACCCCAGCCACCCACCTCGGCCCACGAGCCCCAGCCACCCACCTCGGCCCACGAGCCCCAGCCACCCACCTCGGCCCACGAGCCCCAGCCACCCACCTCATCTGTGGCCCAGTAAAAATGTACGGACCCTGTCCACAGATGTCAAGCCACTTAACACTCTATATCCCTTACAAAGATCTACATTATTGATGCCAGGATCACTTACATAAACATTTTGAGCTCGGCTCACTCAGATAAGCTGTGAACAGTAAATGTTGGCCTACATACGAGAGAATGGGTCTGTGCAATGTATGCACAGTATAAAAAATCCTGCCCCCATGTAGTGTATGATGGGAAAAACAAAACTGACAGTGTATGGTTTAAAATAGTAACTTTGAGGCATTTACTTCAATGTTTTTATGGTTTTATTGGCGATTTCTTGGCACCATTTGACAGAATGGAAGACGATAGAGACAACTTTGATTTGCTTCAGGACTGGAAGTAACTTTAAATTGAGCTCAAATTAGTGGAAATATAACTCAAGAAATCGTAATGACACGATTTGCACGTTTGCAATCGTGTCATTACGATTTCTTGAGTCATGTTGACAGCAGTGAAGGGACTTGAGCTAGAGTTCGTTACGGCCACGCTAGCTGGAGATTCGTCTGTAAAAACTTGCATTTGTGGTCACAGTGGTGCCTGTGCTAACCTTCCTATGGTGTAGAAATATACCTAGTTGGATGAATCTTATTGTGGCTAGCTGGTCTAGTGGCTAACGCGACGGGCTGGAGTTTTGAGACTATGACCACGGGTTCAATCCCGGCCGGGGGTATGGTTAGTGGAAATATAAGTAAGGCCCCCTACACACCCCAATCTGTTTTGTTGGTTTTTAACTGGTCTGGTTCAATTACTGGGAGGACTTAAACCATGACCAATAGAGAAATAAGAATCTATTTTTGTGTGATTAAAAACTCAAAATAGAAGGCAAGTGTAATATAGGAGAAGTCTGGGGACATGACTAATGAACAGAGCTAGTAATGACTACAATGTTTATTATGAACTATTTTTAAACTAGTATTTTTCTGTGTAAAAGTGGTCAAATTACAGACTTCTGTGTACTTTATAGGGCAGCTTGAAATAGTTGAATAAGCAGTTTCTTGTGTTCAATCAATGGAATGAAAGGCATATTAATGAACTAGCTAAGAATTTGGTAAATGGAGCAATGGAATCGACTTAAAACAGAACTCAAATTGGGCGTAATCGCCAATACGTTAATTGTGAAGAGATCACTAACTTTGCGCCCATGTAATTCTGCAAGTTTTCTATGAAATTTCATACGTTTGACCTCATTACCTTCAGAAAAAGATTCCACTATTTCAGAAAAAATACATTTTTTTTTTAAAAAATGTGGACACAATAAAGGAGTTAAGCACCAACAACCAGAATTTAAAACAAGTACAGCAATACAGTTGGGCCCCCACTTTATTGCACTCCACTAATTCAGTGGTTGTCAATTATGTCCTTTGTTCATTATGTTTGGCACTTGTTCTGCTGTTTTAGCTTCACACACTCAACAGCTGAGTCAGGGAAGGGCATCTAGTGCCTGTTTATTGTTGGCGATTCATTCTATTTACAGCATTTGTGCACTCTGTCTTTATTCTGGCAACTTTGCCTATTACTTTAAATACAAAGTCAGAAATGATTAGACTCCATTAGCAAGGTATGGCTGTGACAGATAGGATTTAAGCTAGGTATGGATCACCAAAGTTAGTAAAATCGTGAACTCTAAGGGAAAAGGGTTGAAGGAAATTAAGTGCTACACCAGTGACATTAAAGTGAACACCACTAGCTATAAGCTAAGGACAAAAACATTGTAAGGCAATTAATGTGTGTACTGTACATTCATTTTACTTTTGTATCTTTTTCTTTTAGGCCTCATTCTATTCCACACTTAATATATGATAGTGCAAATATGTTATCAGGCTTTTATATTCATTTGAAAGTAAAAAAATGTTATGTTCCACTCTGGCAATTTTCACTTTTTGATGGGAGTCAAGAATCTAACCCACTAAATGTGGTACCCTACTGTACTGCATTTACACTGCTTAGCTTAATGTTATACTGTGTTAAATCACTAGAAATAGCATGGAATGTAACCCAAATTTTCCCCATAAGTATGTAGTTCACTCCACCTATTGCATTTTCACATTAAGTTCAGTTTTTGTGTAATGTAACCCACACAAAAGGTGGCTTTTTTTACTGAACTAATAGCATAAGCACACAAGAGTGCTTTTACTGAACTAATAGCATAAGCCTTCAAGAATGCAAACATAGCTCCTCTGCAGAAAGGAAGCAGTAGAACTAGAAAAAAAAAATTACAGACCAATAGCATACAGTATAGTCTTTGATAGGGTGATGAGATGGCAAATTACAGATTTTATGGAAAAGTATGAGCCCAACCTAGAACAAGAGGGTACCAACTTCAAAACACTCGGACAATGAAAATAAGCACAAATTAAGAGTGGGATGATCATGCTGTTTCTCATTCTAGCACCCATCCACTGAAGACACAGCAAATCTTCCAGCAGATATTAACAGTATTCCAGTGTGCCTCAGACTACAATCCAGTTTTTAACGAGGACAAGCTTCAATTGCTCCACTATGGAAGAATAGTGGAAATCAAGCTGCAACAGCGTACAGAAACTTGTGTCATTCAATAAAGCAAAAGTCCCATGTGCAAGATTTAAAAGTAATTAATGTCAGAAGATCTTGGATTAAAGGATCACAACAATGTTGATACTAAAGTAAAAGGACACAAGTGCAACTAATGTGACATTTTATTGTGGCAAC